ATTACAAAGGACATCTTCACGTCAACCAGTCAGTCATCAGGACAAAATGGGAGATATTGAACAACATCCATGAAGAAACCTCGGTGGAAGAACATTAGAACTCTTTGGAAGAAAAGTAGAAAGAAACCTTCATAACTATACTAGGAAGGAAGAAGAAAGAAGACAAAACAAGACAAGGAATGGATCTCGACGGACACATGGAAGCTGATACAGCATTGAGAGGAAGATGGTGAGGCAGAAGATAAACCACTGCCAGGATGAACAACGAAAACAGGAACTGAACACAACCTATAAAACACTACACTGGACAAAGAAGTGAAGAAGAGTGCGCAGAAAGACAAAACACACTTCTACAACACACTTGCAAGTGAAGCAGAACAGGCTTCAGGTAGGAGAGACAGACACCTGACAACACTATATCAAATAACCAAAATACCATCTGGGAAGAAATCAACACAAATGAAATCAATGAAAGATAGTGAAGGAAACCTAGTTAGCCAAGGGGAGAAATAAAGGAAACAATGGGCTGACCACTTCAAAAAACTCTTCAATCGACCACCACCACTACCTGCAATTCGTCCAGAAATACCATCAACAGTCCAGCCACAGAATTACCAGTGAGTAGGAGTAAAGTCCTGAATGCCATGAAACTGCTGAAATCCAGGAAAGCAGCAGGACCAGATGGAACTCCGCAAGAACCACTGAAAACAGACGCAGAGACAATAGCGGGCATGCTCCCATCACTAGTGCGGAAGGTTTAGAATGTAGGAAGGAAAGTTACCTGCCGGTCGATTGGTAGAAGGGCTACTTTGTCATATTGTAAGTAGTATGGTATTATGAAAAATCGGTAACAGTCTAATAACTGGAACGAGATTTCTCTCTACTAAACACACTTTAACTCTACTTGCTAGTTAGTATTATTATTATTATTAGTCTCTTGGGTTCCTAGTGGAACACAGGGCTCCACTAGCACGTCTCTAGTCAACTCTGTTCTCTGAAACCTTTTCAACCTGGCTCCACGACAGCCCACAAGCTCTCATTTCCTCCTCACACGATCTCCTCCATGTCACCCTCACCTCAGACGCCCAACTCGTCGCTTCCCATGGGGATAACACTCAACTGCCTGGCCTGACGCGTGATGTCCCCAGTCGGCCTTCTCAGTGTATCCCCAGCCCAATCCATCTCCACTTCCTTCCACTGCATATTTGTTGCGTGATAGGTTCTTGATTGGTTCGTTGCCAGACCAGAGTTCCTTGTTGCTCATTCTAACTATTCTGGCAATCCATCTGATCTTCAGAAATGAGCCAGCGTAAGCAGTTGTTGATGAATGTCTGTAGTTTATTGGAAATCCCTTTCGTAACGCGCCGGAAAGTCTCTGAGCCATACACAAGCACTGACTTGGCTGAAGTGGTGTTGAAAATCCGTATCTTGTTCCACATGCTGAGTGGAGTGCAGAAGATCTCCACACTGGTTTCAGGCTAATCAACACCTGTCTTGCTTCTCCGATCCTGACTGGCTTTGACATCCTCGTCTGTGCCACCATTGCCACCTGTAGTTGAAACAGTGCTTCCTAGATAGGTGAAGGAGGTTACTTCCTTTAAGTTTCTCACGTTGATGGTGATTGGAGTTTGTTGTTGTTGTTGGAGTTGGAGTTGGAGTTGTTGGTGTGGTATCTTCATCACCTCTGTCTTCTCTATATTCACTTGAAGTCCCGGCTTCCTTCACTGTCTCTTCTATCAACTTGTTAGTTTTCGCCTGTACATCTTCAAGTTTGTCTGACATCAGACACAAGTGATCGTTGGCGAAATCCAGATCTTCTAGGTTCTTTTCCGCAGTCCAGCCAGTGTATCCCCCTCTTCTCGCTCACCACTGTTTGCTGCATCATCCAGTCCACTAGACCACAATCAGGACTATCATGGGGGATAGTAGGCAGCAGCCTTGTTTCACTCCTGTCTTCACTTCACCCCAAAGGCATCACTGAGCTACCCACTGTGAATTACTTGGTTGGCATGTGGCATGCGTCTTCATATAGTTGTTGAATGAGGCTGGTAAAGGTTTGCGGTATTCCGTAGTATTGAAGCAGTTTCCAAATTACCTGTCGGTCGACGCTGTCAAAGGCCGGCTTTTTCAAAGTCGATAAAGTTGAGGTAGAGAATTGAGTTGACTGCCATTCTGTACTCTGTTCTATGATGATGCGTAGTATAGCGTTGCAATTTGGTCTGCACATGATTTGTACTTCCTGAATCCAGCCAGCCAGCCTGTTCCGGTTGTAGTTTTGAATCCAGTGCATCCTTAAGCCTCTCCAGGATGATGCGGCTTAATATTTTGCTTTGTTTGGGTGGACAGGAGAGTGATTCCGCACCAGTTCTTGCAGACACTGAGGTCTCCCTTCTTCGGGAATTTGACGAGGTAACCCTTCTTCCAATCCAATGGCAGGTAGCTTCTCTTCCTTCCACACCTTCTGCACTAGTGGTGTGGTGTGAGCATGTCCGCTGTTGTCTCTGAGTCTATTTTGAGTGCTTCTGGTGGGGTCCCGTCTGGTCCTACTACTTTCTCGCATTTCAGTAGCTTTATGACGTTCAGGACTTCCACTTTTTTTGGAGGATTCATGTTCACTTGTAATTCAGCGGCTGCAGTTGGTATTTCTGGACGAAGTGCAGGTGGTGGTCGATTCAAGAGCTTCTTGAAGTGGTCAGCCCATTGTTTCCTTTGTTTCTCTTCTTTCGTAATTAAATTCCCGTCATCATCTTTTATTGGTTTCGTCTGCGTTGATCTCTTCCCAGATAGTAACCCAGTTATTCGAAACAATGCTGTCAGGTCTCTCCTACCTGCAGCCTGTTCTGCTTCACTTTCAAATGTGTCGTAGAAGTGTCTTTTGTCTTTGCATGCACTCTTCTTCACTTCTTTGTCCAGTGTAGTGTTTTATACATTGTACTCAGTTCCTCCTGTCGTTGAGCCTCCTTGCACTGGTTTATCTTCTGCTTCACCATCCTCCTCTATCTCCTCTATTAGCTTCCTTGTATCCATTGGGGTCCATTCCTTATCTTCTTTCTTCCTTCCTAATACGGCTGTGCAGGATTCTTTCCACATCTCTTTCATGGACTTCCAATGTTCTTCCACCGAGGTTTCTTCAGGGATGTTCCTCGATATCTCCCATTCGTTCTTGATGGCTGGCTGCCGTGAAGATTTCCTTTTTAGTTTCGTCCTCCAGCTTCCGAGTGTTGTACTTGAACTGTGGTCTATCACCAGCTTCCCTGAAGGCTTTTAACTTGATTTGGAAGGCAGGTTCCTTGCACTAGAGAGTCAGTGGTCTGAACCTAAATCTGCTCCTCTTCTTGACCTTGTATCAAGTAGACTGTGTCTCATTTTCTTGAGATTGAGATGAAGTCAATCTGATTTTTAGTGTGTCCATCTGGTGACTCGAATCCATGTCACTTTGTGGATATCCTTGTGCTTGAATACACTGCCTCGCCTCCAATCACCAAATCGTTGAATGCGCAGAAGTCTGCAAACAATTCTCCATTCTTGTTCATCACCTCACCGAGCGCTTCTCGACCCATGGTTAGTTCTTTTCCTGTGTTGTCCGCTCTGAGTTTGGCATTCATGTCACCCATTAGAATTTGATGTCTCCAACTGAGGTCTTGTCTAGTGTTGGTTGCAGTCGTCTGTAGAATTCCTCCTTTTTCTCTTGCTCTGCATTATTTGTAGGTGCATAACATTGTATGATTGTGACCTTCCTTCCTTCCTTTTGAGTTGAATCTTGCTGTCATGATCCTGGAGGAGATTGGTTCCCACTGCATGAGAGCCTTCGATGCTCTTGAGGACATCATGATAGCCACTCCCTCAGTGTGCTCGTGGTTGTCGTCTGGGTGACCGGAGTAGATTATTGATTCTCCAGTTGACAGTTTGGAGAGTTCACTCCCATTCCATCTGCTTTCGCAAATTCCAAGCACTTTAGTGTGATACCTTCTCATCTCCCTTGCAATCTGGGCTGCCTTACTGGGTTCAAACATCGTACGGACATTCCATGTCCCCACGTTTACTTTCGCTTTCATCGAGGGAGAGAAGACACATCGGCCAATTGGCTTCCCGAAGGCTTTCACCAACTGGCGTCATTTCGCCTCTCCGATTCCAGCGAGGAATAATTTTGTTATTATTTTTTATACATCGTTTGTGCTTTGAAGTTTGTTTAGTGGTTAGATTTGTTTTCCGGTGTAGGGTTGCTAGCCCTATGCCCAACCTTCCCTCTTTAACCTGGCTTAGGATCGGCTAGTAACTAGTGAACTAGTTAACCATGTGAGGTTGCTAGTTGTTAGTAGATTGAAAATAATGACAAACTCCTAATTAATCTTCACTGACTATCGGTAGCACTCAGAGGAGTATCTTTAAAGTAGAAGAGGATTTATATTTTATGTAGTATGTGAAACCGAACGCCACTTCCTTGTTTGGTGCAGTTCAGTATACACTACAAACTTCGATTTCAAATCAAAACTATTCGTAATTTTAATGAATAGGTGTAAGCATATGCTATGGGGCAGTCGGCTTTGATAACCACTTGTTTTGTGAAAGATACTGGTATCAATTAGTTGGTTGTTTCAAACATGACTTATACTTGCATGCGAATCAGTCAGTAATGGAATCCAGGACGCGTCCTTTCTGGGATTTGTCAGCCATGTATGCCTACCTCTCACTGAGTGGTGTTATTCCCGCTAAGACTGGAACGGAGAATAGATCACTTCAAACACCCAAAAATTATCCACTAGGCAATTACCATAATATAACTGCTGGCTACATCAAGACATCCCCCCAAGATCCCGTACCCCAGTAGAGGTCGATAAATTTGGTTTAATCAACAATGGAGAATTACAAGCAATGATATCGCCCCTTAAGTATGTTTGCATTTTTAAGCATGTAACATGAATGACCGTAAAATCAGATTATCTCTAGTAAACAAATGTAGTTAAAACAAAACAATAACAGATCCTATTCATCTGCCTTACTTGTCTTTCACTCAGTTGTAATTTATTCGAAATCTCCCATCTTCTTTGACGAGTAACATACGGCATTAGGGCATATTCTTTTTCTAGAATCATCAATTGATGCCTTGAATATGGTTTTCGAGACTTTCTTCGATATTGTTCAGCTTTAAAAAGAGATTTGACAAAAATTTTAATTTTTACACATACATACTGAAAACTAATCCAAAGTAATAGTTACTAACAAACGGCAAATAGTGTTTTCTTCACAAAACCCTATTGAACAAAATTCTTGTTTCTTCTTTGTGGGAAGTATACTTCTGTTTAAAAAGTTTTTAAAAAGAATCAGAAAAATAATTATTATTTTCTCTGTATTTTGATTGTGATTTGATGATGAAACCTTTATTTTTTTTCAGTTAAAAATAACTGCTGGAGTTGAATAATGGTGAAAATATGGACTGCCAAACAGTTGATGTTACATTTATTCTACAGAGTCAATGAAATTCAGCTAGTTTAGTCTATTTTGATCGTGCAAAAACTTTCGAATGATACCATATACCAGTCATTAAATGGTGATCAATGCTTGTCTAAACTGATAAAGATAGAGTACTCAGATTGATAGCAATGATGGATTGGAAAGTGATTCCCAATAAACCCGCCACTTCAAAAATCAGTTTTATCGGACTGAGTTACTGAGATATGGTGAATTCGATCTGGTAAAATTGATAAATTTATATCCGATAACAGGCTTACAATTGAATGCTTAGATGTATCCTTATTATTATTATTACCATTGTTATTGTTATTATTATTATTATTTGTCCCTTGGGTACCTAGTGGAGCATACAGGTTCAGTAGCAAGTCGAGATTCCACGTTCTTCTCTCCAGTCTTTTCGACTTGGCCCCACCACTGTCCACAAGCTTTCATTTATTCCTCACACCATCTCCTCCATGTCACCCGCTACTCAGACCCCCGACTCGTCGTTTCCCCTCTGGATTCCAATTGACGGCCTGGTCTCACCTCACCTGACACGTGATGTCCCAAAACAGTCTACCATCTCAGTCTATGTCCAATCCAATCCAATCTAATCCATCTCCATTTTATACTTATGCATACACGTTGGGTGATGGGTTCTTGGTTGGTTGGTTGGTTCGTTCGTTCGTTGCCAGTCACAGTTCCTCGTTGCTCACTCTCATTATTTCTGACCAACTATCTGATCTCCAGTGTCAGTATCCAGTGAGTGAGTGAGTGAGTGAGTGTAGGCGGCAGATGTTGATGTGATGTATATCTGCAGTTTCTCGGAACTGCTTTGCGTAACGCACCACCAAGTCTCTCAAGCATTGCAAAGAAGCACTGACTGACTGGCTGACTAACTGACTGACTGATTAACTTGACTGAATTAGTGTTGAAAATCCACATCTCGTTCACACTTTATGCTGAGCGGAGTGGAGTGCAATGCAATGCAGTGCAGTGCAATGCAGTGCAGTAGATCTCCACACTGATTTCAGATTGATGAAGGAAGGCCTGTTTTACTGTCTTTCCGATCGTGGCTTTCACATCGTCATCTGTGCCGCCATCGCCGCCACCTCTGTCGTCTGTAGTTGAGACAATGCTGTCTAGATGGGTAGGTAGGTGAGAGAGACAACTTGGTTTATATTTCTCCCATTGATGGTGATTGGTGTTTGTTGTTGTTGTTGTTGGTGGTGGTGGTGGTGGTGGTGGTGGTTGTGTATCTCTCATTACCTCTGTCTTCTCTATGCTCACCTGAAGGCGATCCCGTCTTCCTTTGCTGCTTCGCCTCGCTTCGTCTCACCTCTTCCGACAACTTGTTATTTTTCACCTGTTCATCTTCGAGTTTGTGCGACAAGACATCAAGACACTAGACACAAATCATCATCATTGGCGAAATCCAAATCTTCTTCTGGGGTCTTTTCATCGGTCCAACAAGCGTATGTCCCTCTTCTCGCTCCTCACAATTGTCTGTTGCATTATGCAGTCCAGTTCAGTCAACCACAATCAGGAAGATCATCGATGATAGTAGGCAACCTTGTTTTACTCCTGTCCTCACCTCAAAAGCATCACTAAGCTTTCCATTGTGGATCACTTGGCATGTAGCATCCTCATATAGCATCTAGCTGTTGAACGAGGTTTGTAAGAGTTTATGGCAGTGAAACCGTAGTGTTGATGTAACTGCCCGCCAAATAACTTCTTGGTCGACTCTATCGAACGCCTTTCAAAATCAATGAAGTAGAGCTAGAGAGTTGACTACCATTCTATGCTCTGTTAGATGGAATAAAACAGAGGGTATATTAGTGGAGTCAGAAACATCTGAAATAATTGTTCAGACTGTAATGTAAAGATTAGGAACCACAGTTCTGCCAATTATCCAGAAGATACACTTATTAACTTGAGGAAAAATGAACTTTTAAAACATTCACTACTTGGCCAACAGTATTTTTGATGACATCGTATTGATAAGACAAGAGAATTAAAGTTTAAAAAATTGCATTTTTAGATATCATGATCAATGGACTAAGTTTGGTTAATTCGAGAACCAAAGTATTGATCGGATTGATCAGCTAGATCAGTTGCTTACTTAAAACAACAGTAACAACTTTACTGAACAAAAAAGAATCAGTCAGACAATATTTTGAATAGCTAAAACACTTACAGGATACCGAAGGAAAAAGTGACTTCTAGTCATTTTTCAGGATAATGCTCATCTTCCTAATTTCGATAGAAGATATCTATCATAAAATAAAATGGACTATTACGAAATCATCATCATCAGAAAATGTAAAGCGAATTTCTTCCCTAAATGAGAAACAAATCTCTAAGACCAACACCAGGATTCTAAGACCCGTTACAGTCAGTGTTGCTCACAAGACAATTCAATCCTTTCACTTTATACTATGTAAAACAAAAGACAAAACAAAGTATGATCTAATGTATCGGCTGTGAGGATCACTACCTTGGCAAAAGTGGGCATGCTTTTCATCTATGTGTCCACCAGCATACAAGTGGAATGAAATGGTATGACACATTCTCACTAATATCAACGCATGTAAACATCTACAAACAGGAATTTAACTACGAAAATATAAAGAAGCATGATAGAGGGAACTCTATAAATGCGCGGAAAATGTTTTAAGAGATTTAGTAAAGGCGATTAACTTTGTTGTAGTCCACTTGGTGGCTAGCGGTGGAATCCAGGAAGCAGGTTTTGTCCTACTTAAAACTCGTCAGCTGGATGTATTTGCACTGCAGTGAGTGATGGTGTTCTCACTGAGACTGGAATCTAGTACCCATTACTTCAAACTCCAGAACATAACCCCCTAGGTTGCTGAGGCAAGTGGCCACGCCTTGAATGAAGAATTGCGTAAAATGATAGAATATTTAGCGAAATTGGGAATAACTGATAATGCGTAAGAAATGAATAAAATAAAAGTTTCAAAACGCCAGTGATTCATACAGTGGAAAGAAGAAGAGGTTAAACAGCTATCTTTTATATTCAAAGCCCTTGTTCAGTGGTTCAATCAGCCAAATGAATGATATTATTCTGGCTTGTGACCTAGAGTTTCAGCGCTAGAAATCAACCATTCTTGATAGTTGTACTCAGTGTTTTAACATGAATTTGGAGGTTGATTCTCTTTTGACAAAACAGCATGGAGAAAAATAGAACAAGGATGCAACTAGGATCTATCATTACCACGTCCTGAAAAGGATGTAAGTAGAGTTCTCATGAGTCGGAAAGATTACGTCGAGAAAAGATCAAATATACTGTTAGACAACAATATATTTTCAAAACTTAAGAACGAAACATAACAGAACTAATTTAAAAGCAACTAACCAAAGTGTTAAAAAGACTGAAAATAATCGTCTTATTAGCGAAGATTCCTATGAAACCAATAGACCAACAGGTTTAGTAATATTACGAATTTATGGTTTGCTGACAATACTCATTCGATTCTGAACATATCCGGAGCTTCGGATAATATGTGAGAAAGATAAAACGGATCCATTTTATATCCGCGGCATCTTATCAACAGCTTACAACCTAGAACATCAAATTAAATAGTTTTACTGAAAGTTTAACATGCTTTTCTTCACCTGAAGGTCCTGGGTTCTGTCCCTGGCCCTGCGGGGTCGTGGGTGAGCACAGCTGACGGGTCCGATACTAAGACGAAACAGCTGTCCAGTGCTCCTAGGTTTCCATTGTTCCTCCAACTGGTGTCAGTTCATGATGAATACCAACTTGGAATCAATAAATCCTCACAAACTCCCCAATAAAAAATAGAATATTGTCAGTTTTCTTTCAGTGGATAAAAGTATGTAAAATTTTGAGTAAAACTCTATATTTTGATATTCTAGTTTTTAATCAGTAAATAATCGATCAGCAAAATAATATGTATCCTTCATATCCCGCTCCACTGTTGTTTTTGCTCTTATCATAATCATAAAGGGGAATTGAGGCATCAGATTGGACGATGGTTAGCTGATTTTGTAGAACCTCCAGATAGATAAATCTCTATATACTCCCTTTGTAGCACCTTAAAATTCATTGACAGTATATAGGATATGAATGTCTCTCACAAACGTATGATATTTCTCGACATGAATTAACCTTTCGCCACTGTTTCACTTGCGAAAATTACATATTTATATGTAATTATGTAGTTGATAGCAACTTGAACATGGGGCACCAACTGCATATTCGAAAGAAATACAGTAGAAATAAACTGTTTATGCACATTTCACATTTTGCCATACAGACTACAAATAAAAAGATGGAATTGCTACGAGATTCCCTCAGGGCCCATTAGTGACAGGTTCTTTTAGAGGCAGTTTTAAAAATGGTCAGCTGAAGTCAACAATCAACGATTTTCAATCGTATAAAAGCTATGTTGACGACATTTTCATTGTAAGTGATAATAAATGTGATTTGTACCATGTATTCCACGTGTTTAACAGCTCCCATCCTGTGATATAATTAACTATTGAGACAGGAAACGAATCGAAAATTCTATCTTGACGTGGAACTAACGAGAAAGACTGATGGAACTTTGAGGCAGGAGCAACTAGCCTATGAAAACTGGAGACGGTATGAGCACCAAGGATTACGAATCAAGCCGAGTTACGTACCACGATTAGCCTCCTTGTGGCTCCACTGAAAGTCAACTAATACATCATTATATTGACTTAACGGTAATCACGATTGACGAGATCCATGTTTGCAAGTTCAGTGGCGTAGGTCTTCAAAGCACGGACGGTTTAGTAAGCCGTCAGAATTTCGCCTAGTGCGATGAAAGGGGTGAAAATGAGAGGTTAGGTGGATCCAGCTTCTTAAGTCTGATAGTCCCTGTTGTTGAAGCGATCCCCACAGACAAGCGTAGTCTTACCCTGTGAAGGAGGGCGACATTCTGTTGAGAATGCAGGTTCCTGTATCCCTAGTCTTGGATGCATATCGGTAGCGTAAAGGCAACCACGCCTGTAAATCTGTCAGCATTATGGGCTCGTGGACTAGGCCTCCTTTCAGAATATCTTTTCTGGAAGGTGAACTGAAATTAAGTCTGAAAGGTTGTGGGGTCTTTGGTGAAATGTGTCCCACACATATCTACCCATGGAGTGGCGAGTACGGTCAGCGAACTGATTACCCGGTAAGTGTGAATGCATTGAAGCCTGATAGTTTGAAGACTTCTGGGATAATACTGATCATTTTGAGGGGGCTTTAAGAGAATACTCTGACAGTAATGTTCGTTTTCACTTGGAAGCGTTGCTTGGATGTTTACTACTTGGGGGGGAGGGAACCATTCCACCAGGCTATTAGTAAATAACATCCATAAAAAAGAGGTTTGGCCTGAAATTTGGAGCTGAGCAAAAAGCTAGAGTAAAACCTTAATAGGATTAACAAGGAGGACTGATGGGACTTTGAAGAAATCAATCTAAATAAAGTTAACATGGAATGGACGACTGACAAGTTTCTACAGGTGGGTCTCTGTTGGTTGCAACAGAAATATAATTATATCCCATGCTACTTGTCTATGACGCATTTGGAGTACAGATGGATATCCGCTTCGGTTCACAGATAAAAACATAAAATCAAAAGCCCCAAGACATGTCTCAGTTTCTGTACCAAAAAAGGTGTCGCATATAAACTCTAACTTCAAATGTGACATAAATACTGACAACCTTAAGAAAAGTATTTCAAACTACCTAAGAAGTACATTCTTCGCAGTAACTTAGAAAGTAATGATGTCTAGTTACCCTTTACTTTACAACTCGAAAGGCTAGATCTTGCCTCTAACCACATCTATGTGTGAGTACCAGTCAGTTGAAGTCCTAATAAAAAGCTACTTACAAGGTGAAAAGAACGGTTCCAAAGTCAATGTGTGTCTGCCTTGTGTGTATTTCTGAAGCTTTGGTAATCCAAATAGAAAACTTGAAACTTCGTATATAAATGACATTTGTTCAACTCCTGATCCTTTTATGATTTAAATCTTTAGTATTTTAAAATATCCCTCCTTATAACTTTTGTTCTATTCATTTTTTACTCAATACCAACTATTCTTTATTTCCATGTTCGCTCTAATAACGTCTCATCCATTGAATGTTTTATCATGTTACATAATTCACAATTCATAGTTGATCATTTTTAGTAAATTTCTCTGATATTTTGAGCAGTACTCATTGTTTTAAGCAACTCCACATTTTTGGGTCACAACAATTTGTATAGAAGTCAAATACTAAGGTGTAACTGAGATTAGTAGAAATGTTTGTCACAACGCCAGTAAAGTCATTTAGCTACAAGGTTAGTTATGATATTATCTTGACAATTAGTAAGAGAACAGATGTGTATGATGATAATGAAGCTTACAAGGATAACCAGATGTATTCAGTATCACTAAACTGGATATATTTACCAATTGTGAAGATATGTTTGAAAGTCGTCTATCTACATACCACTAAATCATTCAAAGGACCAATACAAATATATACTGAACAAGTCGAGATATTCAGTAAGCGTGTTCAATAGTTCACTCATATTAGTTGAGCACCGAACATTAGTACACTGTGCTACTTGCCATATATGTTTGTGTAAAATTTAATAGCACTAACTTACTGTGCAAACAGAATCAGGTGCTTTATAGTTCACACTTTTTACTTTCCAGTTCAAAATTGAGTTCGCAAACTATTAAATGAGTGTATAAAGAGATTTTAAACAATGATTTAACCAAAAAAAGTAAATGATACAGATGTAAGTTTGTGGGGGTTTATTAATCTCAAGGTAGTTTACATTACCAAGTGATAACACTTACAGAGACATTAAAGACCTGAAGCACTGAAAAACTGTTTTGCATGAGTCTAAAATCGTGCAAAACAGTGGGCATCTATGAAGAAAAGTGAACTTTAGCCTATGACCATCAGATCTCATATGGAGCAGGTTACTGTTCCTCTAGTGTGTTGGGATTCAGTGGTTTCATTTGTTTTGCTTCTGTCAACTGCTACCTAGTGTTCTTAATTTCTCAGTAGTTCTCTACTTGATGACAGCCTATAACCCAAACTACCTTAAATGTAAAGTGTGATGAATGTGAAGATGTCTATGTACTAAGAAATGTTGCTGGAATTTATCACAAATCTTCTTCAATGGTTTTAGATTCCAGTTTATTCCTAAACAGTCTGTAAATTAACTTTGGTACTCTCAGTGTTTATAAGGTTCTCAAATTTTAACTAATGATAACTTGATCTTCTGAAATAGTATTAGCTTTCTGTACCAAGTGCTTCATAAAATGGTAGTGTCATAAAGCTTAAGGATGACCAATCAGAGACGAAATCCCGAAAGTCAGACATTACTAAACCACCGATGCATTCTTTTAAAACTTATTTTTACTCAGTATAATTGTTTTTATATCATACTGTCGTTGATTGAACCGAATTGGTCGGTCTTCATTGGCATATGGGATCCTATGCGGATGCCTTGATATTACCGGTGCGCATCCTGGGTCCCAATGCCAGATACTATCCATCATTACTATTTTTACTTAGTTAGATATCAAATCTGAAATGCAGTTGAATACTAAGCGTGATGACTCCATAGGATTGATTTTGTCTTAAGACCCCTTAGTTGTATCGGAATTCATTGAATTTTGAGTGTTCATTACCCTGAAAAAGATTCCGTGAAAATGACTAAATCTTTCAAAAATCAAATTGAATATTTAACCCTTCTTTTTCTCGATCAGATATGAATTTAAAAACAACTTCTGATATTTTACAATGCTTAAATAAATGATAAAACGAATCATTAATTATTATTTCAAAGAATGTCAAAATATCTGATTAGTTAAGTGTAGAAAAAAGACAGTTTGGATCTATACACTTGCAATAACAGCATACTACTGATTAGACTATAAGTAGTAGACAAACATATCTTTGTGTATACCAGAATAAGGATTTGGTGTAGTTGTATTGTTTTTTTTTGAATATAGATGTATTCTGAGCTTGGGTTGTGGAGTGTGGTTCTTATCTACAGAGGAACTCTGATGAAAGTATTCAGTTTTTGTAATTAGAGATCTCATTAGTTGATTATTCTAAGTCGTTGAGGTCAACAAATTTTAGTTGCGTAATTACAGACGACTGCTAGAACGCTACGAGTGTAATATATTGAGTTCCTGATAGTCATTGCTTTTAGGCTTATCTCTTAGCTTCAGTTGGAAACTGGATTACACGTAAATAGACACCCCAAATTCGAGTGGATATTGTTAGTGTAATCTTGTCAGACGTGAAGTGTAAGTATGGAACTCTTAACCTCATAGTTATCAATGTGGTTGTCAGACAAATTAGCTGTGAATCCTATTTGCAAAAGTGGTTTTCAGTTTCATTTTACTTCATGAAATTGTTGTCAGAATGATGACTGTCCATTGTCTCCTCATAAAATGCATCTACTATCATTCCGCTCAGGTGGTATGATCAATAACCAGTTAATTAATCAGTCATCCTCCCCACAGCTAATCACATACAGTTCCCAAGAGTATTAGTAGATCTGACTGGGCACTATTTGTGATGCAGAAATAACGGTTGATTATCTCCGGTTAACATGATAAGAAAGCGAAACATTCATTGGATCCATGTTTATGACAAGTAGTAGAACACACGATACACGTTTTGTCCTATTTGGGACTCGTCAACTGGATGAATCTGCACCCTGGTGAGTGATGTTGTTGCCATCGCAGGTATGTTTACCTGAAGAGTCACAAATGGGACAAAACGTGCATTCTAAATTTCACCAACATGAATACATCATCATAAATATCCGGCAGTATTCAGCCATCCAAATAGGAGCCCATCTGCCAACGGATGTTGAGCAATTCAACCCTGTACAGCAACAGGGAATTAAACGTCTCAAAAAACAGAAACACCCATCGACTCAAGTAAAATTAAAACTTGGTTTTTGTTTTTTAACAAAAATAATAGCTTTATTCCAAACAATGTGTATGACAGTATGTAATTCTCGGCATGTAATTTTTCAACAAATTCACTCCCAGAACAACAATACTTTCAGACGAAACGGTTATTGCATCGGAATGATGTTGATAATAACAGCATGGAAGGCAACGATGTGAAACAGCCGGCTAGTTGTGGATGGGCAGCCGGTCCATAATGAAGAATCAACAGAAATCCAATAGTAATTTTGGTAGTGGTGGTTCTAAAACCTGCAACTCAAGCTAAGCATCTGATGGACAGAAATATGATAGATTTTTTGCACCGAAAAGTCTATTTCCATGTAACGTAACGTTTTTTCTCTGCTTTGTTATTGACTCGAGAAATAGAGAGTTGGAAACAGTTTAAAAATGTGCCAGAGTACATGATGTATTCAAAGGACATATTTAAATGATTTAAACAAATTGAAAAGAAAGAATTAGGAGGAAAATGTTCGATAGATAAATTTGGTAGCCCAAGGTTCAAGCAGGCTGCCGACAGATGGTTCGAGTTTAGTTTCAACCCTATGTAGATTCAATTTTTATTTCAACTCGTATCATCAACCTATCTAGTAACTGATCTACCTTTAATTCAAATGGAATAAACTAGAAAATCTATTCACAATTAGTTCATATTAAACTTACGTTTATCTGATGCATATGAGTGTAAACAATTATTTCTACTATGACTATTATTTGATTCACAATTACAATCAGCTTCCCATCTACTGATATATTTCAATTTATCATTATGATTCGATAGAAAGCATAAATTTTTAGGTTCATTCATTTCACTTTTAACCATTGATGAAATTGAATTCGATTGTTCAAGTGAATTATTGTTCAATAGAGAATTATTGGAAACATTGAAATATGATGAATTCTTATTGTTTTCATAATAACTTTGAAGGCTGAATGCATATTTTGATTTAAGATTTTGTTCTAAATAATAATTAGTCTCTTTCTGTTCAAAATTCATTAATGAAGTTCTTGTTGAATTTAAGACATTTGTATCACTTTTTAAGGATGTCATCCAAGGTGTATTCATGGTTGTTTGCATAAATCTAAAAATAACTAAATAATGAGGGAGATTATGTGATAACATTATTTTAATACATGTAGTGATCAATACAAAAACAGAAGAGCATACATATTGAAAACTACCATTTTTACATGAAGTAGTCGCTTACTAAATTATTAGATCAAAAATTGTCACTGAATATAAGTCTAATTATCATTTTGACTATCTGAGATAACCATAGTTTGGTAGACTTGTATTAATACTCGGTGATGATTAAAGATGAAATGAGAATGTGGGCCACAGTGAGATTCAAACCAGCAATCTCTGGGTTACCGGCACGACGTTCGACCAACTGAGCTACAGCTGATAGAGCATTTGGCCTGTAATCCGTAGATCAATGATTTGAATCTTGCCGTGGCCCAAATTTTCATTTCATTTTCCACTATAATTCAACAGTAAGTCTAATTATTGAAAACATTGATAACCTCAAGAGAAAAGGTGTTAGTTTATCGGAAAACTTGGTTTTGCTTATGAAATAGAGAACAAAATGATGGATGAAGACAGTACGATGTCAAAAGTATAGCAAAAATCTGCGTTCATAATGTTGGTTTACATTGTTGTTCTCAAGTAGTTTTTAGACGCATTTACTTTTAAATGGAGACTGTTATTAGTTTTATACTTCTCAGAGGTTATATAGACTTTCAGTATACATTGATTGGTCACCAGAGAGCACCCGATTTCATGTTGTCTAGTCATCAGAACCAACCGTCTTCCATGGATCATTTTGCAAGTTGGTCACCAAACTAGAGGTCTTAGTATCATGGTGCACTTTAATAGATTTTATTAAGTTGGAGTTGATTGGCAGAAAGTCCTACTTCTCCTAGTTTTCATGCTTGTTGACACTCTTTATCAAGGCGTATATACAACCTCAAGAAAAGTGATGCCGCCCCAGCATTGCGGTCACAGACATTACCACTCAGCTATACGGGCCGTTGTTGATCTCCTGCTTAAATGCAATTTCATGTGTCGTAGTTAGTCATACCCTCAAGAATGGGTTTACGAATTATGTATCTTAGTTTTTATTTCAGTAGTGTAAGAGACATAAACCAACATATATGTTTATGATGCCGTGGATCATTTAAATGGTACTATAGGAGTTTATCCAAGTATAGGGTGAAAGCAAACAGCCATAATTAACGGTAAACATTACACGGTATGAAAAGTATGTTTAGGGCTCTCAGTACAAAAGCAGTTCAGCGCTAAAGATGATAATTTATTCACTATCTATGTCGGTGCTTGTATTATCTCATCAATGATTAGACTGAATTGGTCACTCTCTATTGACATATAGACATCTGCGCGGATGCTTCGATACAGCCTGTAGTCTCGTTTTTATGATAATGATCGATAGTGGCTTACAGTGGAATCCAAGGCATGAGTTTCACTATCTGTTCGTTAATTTAAATATAAACACAACCATGTTTGACTGAATCCACCAGATAACATGTCAAAGACTAAATAACACGTACAAAACTAGAATATACTCTCTAAATCAGATTTTCATAATCCATGAATTCTAACACTTTTGAATGCCCTATCGATATTTGAAACAGCTAACAGTTGTGTAGATCGATGGTAGCACTAAAGGTAACTGGTATTCTTTGAATGAATGTTATCTAGTCTTAGTTTATTAAGGTTATCTAAGTGAAATTCATCATTTCTCAAGGAAAAATGAGTGATCCAATTGATTCTACATTGAAATACAAAATATAAAATAAATTTTCCTTGGGATATAGTGTCGAATATGCCTACACTGATTATTTGGCAGAAGAACTAGCACATATGACTACAATATTGTTCCAAAATAACTGAAATCCCTGCTTGTGGTCAAGAAAGCTTACTTAAAAAAAATGGTAGATAACTCGGTTGCATATTATTCTTTTAAAATACTGAATAAAAGTGATATATTTTAGGGATGAATTACACGGTGTATAAGACAATGTGCAGGAAACTGATGTCTAAGTGCTCACCTACGACTGAATGAAGCACTACACTGGGTGTAGTCAAGATTTGCTTTAACGAATAACTTATGCAACAATTGAGTTGTAAGTGGTATAAAACTATCATCATTAGCTATTACAAAGGTTTTCTGCAGCTAGGAATATTCAAGGGCCGTAGTCTATTTGGTGCCTAGTAGGAGAATCCAGAACGGTGACTTCGTCTTATTTGGAACTCGTCAGCTGGAAATTCTTGCACCCCAATGAGTGATATTGTCCCAGCTAGGACACTGTGGCGTTTGAAATGATGAGTACTGGGACCAAGCCTCAGTGAAAACAATATCACTTACTGGGGTGCAGGTATATTCAGCTGGCTAGCCCCAAGCGGGACGAAACACGAGTGGTGGATTTCACTGCTAGCCACTAAATAGACTACAATAATATATATTTTATAGCCAGAGTGGGACAATGGGTACTTCCCACTACCACCTGTAATTTAAACCTTTTCTAATGTCTAAATTTTAATGTAATCTTTTTAATGCTTTCCAGAGCTTGCATTGGACGCATGTTATTATTGCGTTTGTTGTATTGTACTCTGATTATGTCTGTAAATTATCCTCCCCCTCCCCTCTCAGTATTTATACTGGGTGATGATTGAAGGTGAAATGAAAATTTGGACCACGGCCGGATCCAAACCAGCAACCACTAGTATCTAGTTCCAGTTTATTTTTCTACCAATCATGAGGTTTTGACAATGATAATTTTCATTAAAAAGTTTTGGAATTTCTATTTTCAATTTAACTTTTATGATTTACTAATATGAGAAGAGAATAACCAAAGAAAGATAAAGGAAAGGCAAAAATACGACAGGATTACTGTCAGTGACACGTTACTAATAAAGTTGATAAACGAAATATCAGTAAATACTTAAAATTAAACAGATTGATCTTCAGGTGACATCACATTTACAAGCAGAAGAGTTAAAGAAGTGCATCTATTTAGTACTTGAACTCACCTTATTCTAAACAATGTTAAACATATAGTTTTCTTTGCCATGTGGATACGAAAATACTCTAGATTACGGCAGTAAAAGGCGAGATTTTAAACTTTACAATTTAAAGACAACAAAGTAGTTTTAATCATTCACATGAACTACATCTTCAAGTAATTAGTAGGCTGAAATTTGTTAACTAAGAAACAATGTGAATGGAATGAACAGTCACATACATTGAGAACACTATGGTAAATGTTATATGGAAATTCATAGAATTATCAAGGAATATGTTGAGTAAGGAAATTGAAGGTAATAACCGAATCTTAATACTTTATAATCTGATAGTGTATTAGTTTGTTAAATGTTCAGTATGAAAGGAATCCATATTTGTCACAACTGTATTAAATTATCTATTAAAAATTAAACTTGAGAACAGTTTGTGTCGAAAACATTATGCTCCAGATTACTTGAAATGAGGAGAATATATTTACACTGTATACTAAGTAGTGGTAACAAAAATGTTAAGATTTTTGTGACTTGATTGATCAATTCAAAGTACAAACAGGCTAAGTATTATTCTGAAGTCTTGAGTACACCTTTGCTTTGAAGAAATCTTTTCATGAAAGTAAGTACTGAAGTAGCCTCTTTAACCTATCTAGGCAACATCCTTTCAACTACAGGCTGCTGCGGAGCAGAAGAGGATGTCAAAACCAGGATCAAAAAGACAGCAACACAGGCCTTCTTTCATCAGTCTGAAACCAGTGTGTGTGTAGCATAAAGCATTAACAAGATCCCGATTTTCAACACCAATGTCAAATCAGTGCTGCTATATGCTTCAGAAACTTGGCATGTCACAGAAACACTTCCAACAAACTACAGATATCCATCAACAGCTGCCACCTACGTTCACTCAATACTGAATATCAGATGGCCAGAATAGTGAGAATAAGCAACAAGGAACTCACTCTGACTGGCTGTCAACGAATCAACCAACAACCTATCTTCCAACAAATATGCAGAAGGAAGTGGAGATGGACTGGATTGGGCATGCACTGAGAAGACCATTCGGAGACATCACGCGTCAGGCAGCCGAGTGGAACCTAGGTGAGAAACGACGAGTTGGGCGTCTTAGTCGAGGGTGACATGGAGGAGATCATGTGAGGTAGAAATGAAAGCTTGTGGGTAGTGGTGGCGACAGGTTGAAAAGATTGCAGAGAAGAGAGTGTAATAGAGGCGTTCTAGTGAAGCCGTATGTTCCACTGGGAACCCAAGGGACAAATAATAATAATATAACAATAAGTGCTGAAGTTGGATGAAGGTAAAGATAAAGCCAAATTATAAGTCTGTTTCGGTCTGATGATGTGTAATGAATAGTATTTGGCTGCAGCAGACTAACAAATTATTCAGTAAAACAAACAATGTAAGCAAAGAAACACTTCTTTGCAACTGGTTCCTCATCAATGTCTGTACACTAATATATAACATTTTCAAAACATAAAATTACATACCAACCTAGAGGTGAGAGTTGTTTAATGAAAGTTAACAGTCTCAAAGTACCACGAAGCTGATAATTGATCAGGTAATTAAGACAATTAACCAAACATAGATTAATTATGGTAGAAAGGTTTTGTGAAATTTTAAACAGGTTGTTACATAGTAATGATGGATAGTGGCAGCAATGGAATCCGGAATGCTCATTACGTCCTACTCGTGACTCGTCAGCTGGATGTACCTGCCTTCCACTGAATGATGTTGGCCCCACAGGGACTGATCGCTTCAAACGCCAGGGTGTTATCCACTAGACCGCCAAGCCACGATAGCCACTTCTTGTGCGACGAATGTAGCTTGAGTGTTATTGTTTGCATTATACCACCGTCGATTGGACCGAACTGATGGGTCTCTATTGGCATATGGGTTCCTGTGCGGATGCCTCGATATTGTCAACAGAGACTGGTCAGTTCGCTCCAATCAACGATGGTGTAATACAAGCAGTAACACTAGGTTGTTACATAACTGATATTTTGTATGATGGTAACTAAAGAGCGAAA